ACCTTTGGAACATATAACCAAGCATTCTTTAGTTTTCTCAGAAATACTTGGAAAAGGAAACTAGGCAGAGTCTACTGAAGTTACTTGAGGGAATGAAGGCTGAGGTTAGGTTATTTGGGTATTAAAGGGAAAAGTAAACATTGAAGGTCAAAGAGGTTAGAATAACCTCGGTTTTATAGCAATTGTTAATTATCCAAAAAATTGAAAAGGAAAGCAGCATGGTTTTGTGAACTTTCCATTACTACCTGTTGTGTGACCTTGGATAGTACTTAGATACAATGAGCCCAAGATTTCTTATCTAAGAAATGAGAAAGTAGATCATCTTTAACATTCTGCTGGTGTCAACATTATTGGATTTCATGTTTGATCTTAAGGAGACCACTGTGAAGGGTCATACACTGTGTGAATGATTTTAATACATTATTTGAAAAATTAGTCTCCAATACTGTGTAGCTCAAATATGTGCCTATATAGCACCTTCATAATTCTTTATGTTCCCTGACTCTACAGTTCCACATAATTGCCTATAATTCTAACATATTCCTGTTTCTCCCACTTTTTCTGATCACAACAGTTAAGTTCTGGTCATTATATAAAATTTAGAATCCCAAAAATCATGACTATAAATTACCTAAAACCCTATTACATATAGATAACTAGTATCAACATTTTTGTGTACTATATATAATTTACATATATATGCATACCTTTCCATATTTTTGAGACCATTTTCATTAAACAATTTATCTTAGATATCTTTCAAGATCAGTATAGATCTACATTATTACCTTAAATACCTTTATATTATTCAACTATAGGAATAAACAATAACTTATAAATTGAATCCCCTCTTTTTGGATATTTAACTTGTTTCTGACATTTCAGTATTATAAGCAACACTGAAATGAACATTGTTATACTTGGTTTTGCGATTATTTTCAAATTAAGATAAATTCCTTGAAGATTTGCTGGGTCAAGGAGTAGGCACATTTTTCAGGTTTTTATTAAGTACTGCCAAATAATATTCCAGAAAATTTGTACTAACCTTTTCGCTTGAGCATGCGACATGGGAATTTTCCTCACATTATGGAATAATGGTGGGAACTTTTAAATTTAAATTTTATCAACAAAACAGGTAAACAGCAGTATCTCCTTGTTATTTTAACTGTCATCTTTTTTATTAGTAGTGCACTGAGATTTTTCATATTCATTAGCCAAAAGGCTGATATATATATAAAAATATTTTCTGAATTGCCTATTTATCTTTTTTGTTTTTAAAGATTTTATTTATTTATTTGACAGAGAGAGAGAGGGAACACAAGCAGGGGGAGTGGGAGAGGGAGAAGCAGGCTCTCGGCTGAGCAGGGAGCCTGATGCATGGCTAGATCCCAGCGTCCTGGGATCATGACCTGAGCCAAAGGCAGATGCTTAACGACTGAGCCACCCAGGCGCCCCGCCTATTTCTCTCTTTTACAAGTTGTTTTCTCCTCAGTTTGTTCATTTATCTTATATATATTGTTTTATAAGTGGTGTTAGTATGGTTTTAAATTGAGAATATCAAGATAGATCCTAAAATTAGATGAGGAATGTCACCCAGTATTTTCTCTTCTACCTTTCCTTAGACACAAGGTGTCACAAAGCAGGTTGCTGGATAGAGAAGACAGGCCAACTAAAGGATCTTAAACATCAACAAACTCTGGTATTTTTTTAAAATATCACATAATACATTTTTGGTGGATGGAGATTTGTTAATCTACCCTGAGTAACAAAACTTTGACTCAACTGCACTTTACTATACACAAACACTTTTTATTTACTAAAAATATTAAGAAAATATAGAGGTTTAAGCCATATTTAATATCAAATAAGTTTCTGCATAACATAAAACAACTAAATATTCTCTTTTCACATATAAATATTACCATTTGTGATCTCTTGCTTCCTCATATCTTAAAATGAAAATCAAACTACTGAGATAATACTTCTTCGAACATGTAGTTTAAGACATAGCATTTGCTTTGTTGGGTCTTGTAAAGTTTTTTTTTCACTATTATACTTGTGAGAATATTTAATAACACAAGCTAAACAAATCTAAATACATTTGAAAAGACCTAACTTATTTCTAAAACCGTTGTCTAGAAAATCAACCATGGATTTTGCCACTTAGGGATTCTTGTTTTAATATAGATTCAATTGCAAAAAGTCAGGATTCATTTTCCTAAAGCCTCATCATCTATACAGATTTTTAAAAATAGCTAGGTTCTTTTTCTAACCCATCAGCCTAATTAAATACAGCTGCAGCCTTGGCATAAAAGAATTTCAAACAACTAATTGGCAACCTGCTGACATGGTAAATAGACTGTGAAAATCCAATTCTTCCAATATTTAAAAGTATATTACATTTGTTGAAATGTTTTCCTTGCACCCTGAACCCAACCGAAAATAACAACAAAAAAATTTAAGTGACTTATTTGTCCTGGTGCTTTTCCTTGTTTTGTTTTTCAATCCAAAAACTGAAGAACTCTATTAAAACTTTAATTCTACTTTAATAATTGTAAGTAATGCATCTTATTCCCATAATCCTTTTTTACAGGGATTTAAAGAGACTTTTTTCCTTAAAGCAAGACAGGCTGGTGTGAGTTAATATCAATTTCAGCGGATCTAACATCATGATATTTTACCTGAATTTGTAATTAGTGGTTATAATTAAAGGAAAATATTACATGAAATATTTTTACTTTCCTCAAATTTCATTTTTATGGGGTGTGGTGCAAATTTCTTAAGTAAATGCCATCCAATATACTGTTCACTGCCTTTCACTTCTCACCTCTTGTATTCTCTTAAACTTTTGCAAGCAATTCTTAAAAATAAACTTCCTGACCAAAGGAACATTTTTAGAAACCAAGGCAAAACTGGAAGAGGTTGTATAGAAAGGATTTCACCTGGAAATAGTTTGTAAATCCCTATTTTACATAGAAATGGGCAACTGGGATCTGGAAATGATCCAGTTGTATTCAACATTACTAAAGAAAGAGTTTATGTCATAGACTTGTGAGGAAACACATTGGGTAGAGTACTGGCTCTAAAGAAATGGATAAAAATTCCAAATAATCTTGAAAGACTGAAGATACAGTAATGATGCAGGCAGGTACATGTTTACCAGGAACTGACTTAGGGAGGAAAAAATCCAAGAAAGAACAGGAACAGTTACATGAAATCCATGAAAGATGATTTTTTTCCTTGAAGATGGACACACCTGGATGAGTGAATACCGATTGTAAAATATATATATATATATATATATATATATATATATATATATACACACACATATATATATATGCATGTATATATATGCATGTATATATGCTTATTTTTTATTTATTTACCTGAGAGAGAGAGAGGGAGAGAGAGCAGGAACAGGGGGAGGGGCAGAGGGAGAAGCAGGCTCTGGCTGAGCAGAGAGTCTGATTGCAGGACTCAATCCCAGGACCCCGGGATCTTGACCTGAGCTGAAGGCAGACAAGACACTCAACAGACTGAGCCACCCAGGCATCCCCGATTGTAAAATATTTAATATCATGATATTTTACCTGGAATTCCAACTAAAACTCACTTATCCTAATTACAGCAATAACAATAATAATTATCATTTGAATGGTTACTGCATGCCAATCAGTATGCTAAGTATTTGATAAAGAATATCTCATGTAAGCCTTATAATAGTTCTATGAAGTAGGAAGATAAGAGTCCCATTTTATAGATATGAAAAACAAAGAGTAGAGGGGTTAAGCAACTCACATAAGGTCACAGAACCAATAAGTGACGGAAGTGGGAGTCAAAACCAGGCCTATTACTGACTTCAAATCCCTGCTTTCATCCTCTACAATGCCCAAATCCTATAAATGTCCCTTCAGGTTCTGCTCAAGGATGCTGAGGAATAAATCACTTTTCAGCTTCTTTTGCTTCTTACATCTACTGACTTAAAAGGCTCTTTATTGCTGCTGACTACAGGAAAACAGACAGGGAATAAGTATATAAGAAGTTGGAAAGGTAAAAGAAATCTTTAATAGTAATAAATCATCCTGCATTTATTAAAATATAAATTTACTAAGCCAGCTCTCATCATACCCCTGAATATGATGGATACTACCCAGGGCCTAAACCCCACCCAGTGGTCTAATTAAGCTATAAACCTTGGCAAAGTTACTAAGACATGAGCTATAAATGGATTCAGGGGGCACTACTGTTAGATAAGACAAAATTATTAGTTTTCTTCTATAGATGGACAACACCTTTGCCTCCAGGTTGTACTTATTTTTTTCTCTGCTGCTTCCCTTGAACCCTTGTCTAGTCCTGAGAATGGACAAGGAAGGTGCATTTCTAGGTGGTATAGCACGGTAGAGAGTGGTATAGTAGAGCAGTTAAGAACATGGACTCAAGCCTGACAGCCAAGTTGAAAGCTTGCCTTTGTCACTTACCATTTGTGTGAGCTTGGACAAGTTACTTAACCTTTCTGTACCTTAGTTTCTCCATTTGTTAAATAGAGATAATAATTATACTTATTTAAGACTATAGCAAGAGTTACATAAATAATAATTTATATATTTCTGGGGCATAGTAAGCATCACAAGCATTTTCTATTGATACTATTAAACTTTCAAATTTTATAAAGAAAGACCTTGTAATTCCTTCTTTTATCCCTATGGGAGGTTCTGGGCACTGGCAGTCCTGTTTGCTTTTCACCCGGTTTTATTCTCCTATAGCATAGTCACAGATCAGTTATTAACACACTGGAATACTATTCAGCAATAAAAAGAACAACCTATTGATACAGGTACAACTTGGATGGATGTTAAAGTTATTTTGCTTAGTGAAAACAGGTCAATCTCAAAAAGTTACATACTGTATAATTCCATTTACATAACCATCTGTATAATTTTTTCATTTCAATACTGAAAACAAATTATTGGTTGCCAGACATTAGGGACAAGAGGGAAGACATTAGTATGAGGGAGTTAATTTGTGATAATGGAACAGGTCTGAATCTTGATTGCAGTGGTAGTTCCATGAATCTGTATATGTGGTAAAACTACACAGAACCACACACACACACACACGTGCACACACGCACGTGCATGTGCATGCACACACACACATCCATGCACACACATACAGGAATGCATGTAAAATGTGACAAAATCTGAATGAGGTCTGTAGATTGTACATGTTAATTTGCTGATTTGGGTATTGTACTATAGATAGTCATGTAAGGTGTTACCATTTGGAACAGCTGGGTATAGGGTGCACAGGACCTTTCTGTACTATATTTGCATCTTTCTATGAGTTCTTTGTCTCAAAAAAATTTTTTTAACAGAATATTTTTTTTGAATGTCAAGGGATGTTTTTACCAATAAATGAAGAGGGGCTAATTTACATTTTTAGCCAAAGCCAAATTCACCAAACTGGTATTTCAGGAACACTAGTCAATTAGGAGAGTTAATAGCTTTGCTGTAGAAAAGGTTTTCTGAGGTCAATACATTTAGAGAACATTATATAACACTCCTCTTGGAGATTCTTCTCTACATTGTTCTGTGGTTCTCAATCCTGCATGTGCAACAGAATCATCTGAATAAAAAATAAAGGCAGAAATAATTTTCAAATAAAAAAAAAAAACAGCCACAATCACAAGTGACACACACTGGAAAGAATATCTTTCAGTTTCAATGAAATTTTAACCAAAAAAAAAAAAAAAGCAGGACTATGAGCCTTGCTTTCACAGGTCTCCGAAAATGTGCAGATTCCTTTAAGTGTTCAAGCCCTGAATTTAGGCCTGTGGCAGATAGTGAAAGCAGCAAAAAATGACCCTTTTTGGAAACAGCTCCATAACACAGAATAAACGGGGAGCTGAAGTAAAGAAGAAAAGTATACCAGAGTATCTTTATTTTCTGGAGATTGCTTCAATATAAGAAAGGCAAGCAACAAGTAACTACAGATGCCGGCCAGTCAGTTGAGCAGAAATTACTACATCACCACAGAACACCATTTCACTGAGTCATGCTGACCTACTGTTCATCTCAAAGCTGTCAATGGAGAGAACAACATAAATTGAGACAAAAGGCCTCAGGCAGAAGATATAGCAATTTAGAGAGAGAATGATATGAGACAAACCTGAATTGAAGCTACTGAGATGCTCAAGCTCCTTTCTTCCTACCTCTTCACACATCACACTTTGGGACAGTTGCCCCCATTCAAAGCTGAAAGAAAGGGACAATACCAAAGCATAGGTGATTTAAAAATAAGAAGCAAAACAGCATCAGCAAAAGGCAGACTAAGGAAGAAGAAACTAAAGAACGGGTTCTGACTATTTTTTAAAAGCCTATTTTAACAGGTAAACTTTAAAATTCTACTGAAGGATATAAGAAAGACTTGATTAAATGGAAAGAATTGTCACTGGATAAAAAGACTGAATAATATGCAATTCTTGATTCTCTGTAAATTTATCTATAAATTCAAACAAACTCCAATCAAAATATCCATAGGCTTTGGGGAGGGAATCTGAAAAAAAAGCAACACTGCAGCTCATCTGGAAAAATAAATAGGTGAAAATATCCAAAAAAATCTTAAAAACAAGTTTTTTAAGGAACTTTTCTTAACAGCTAATAAAATGTATATAGAGATTTGTTTGAAAAGATTTATACTGGCACAAGAATAACTATTTTGAGCAGAACAGACCAGGAGTAGGCCCAAACACATGAGGTAATGGATTATATAATAAAGGTGGCAATTCATTACATTGGATAATTAATATTCAATAAATGGTACTGAAACAACTGGTGAATTGTGTTGAGAGAAAAAAAAGTGGTACAGCTACCTTAATCTTTAAATCAAAATTATTCCAGAAGGATTAGAGCATTAAATGAAATTATAAGAGTACTGTAAGAAACATGAGCAATTAAAAAAAATCATCTTGATGTGGGAAGGTCTTTCTAAGCCAAATACCCAAAATCTATAATGGGGGGGAAAGGATAAATGTGACTGTATTAACATTAAAACTCTTCTGCAGGGAAAACAATGAACAAAATCAAGAGAAAATGTTTCAACATATGCAACATCTTTCCTTAATTCAAAGACAGCGTTTACAATTACTAATCAATTAGAAAAAGATGCTCCTAACCTAAATGCCCTTGATAGGAAGCTGATGCAATAAATTATGGCATATTCATTTCATATATGTTAAAACAAAATATATTAAATGAAAAGTGATCGTGATAGTACTTATATTGATAAAGCTATAGACATTTTCATGTAAAGTGTGGTAATCTTATGAACCCAGGGTCCTGGGATCTAGCCCCACATCGGGCTCTCTGCTCCGCGGGAAGCCTGCATCTCCCTCTCCCACTCCCCTTGCTTGTGTTCCCTCTCTTGGTGTCTTTCTCTCTGTCAAATAAATAAATAAAATCTTTTTAAAAAGTGTGGTTATATTTGAAGGCAGAGTTGTTTAAAATAATTTTTATGCTTTTCAGTATATTTTCCAAAATTTCTTTAATGAACATTTTTCATAATCAGAAGATGTAATAAAACAGTGATAAAGTGACAACTTTCAGTGAAGCATAGTAGAAAGAAAATATACTCCATCACCTTAGCTTACATAACTCATGAGTACAGGTGAATAAAACAGTTGAAAACACTAACTTTTATCAGCACTACAACAGAAAAACAACTTCATTATGTTTATTTTTTTCTTTATAAATCTATGTGTCATACAAAAATTTAAAAAAAAAAGGTAATCCAGGAGACTTGATATTAATGTGTTCTTGAAAATTCTTAACTCTATGCTACTTTATTCAAGTGATAAAATTTTGCAAGGTACCATATCACAACAAATCACATTTTTACAGCACAATAATGAAGGCACACCTGGCGCAAAGTTGACTTAAACTCTTCTGAGCTGGAGGCAAACACACACTTGGATTGGCTCTCTAAGTATGTTTTTTTTTTTTTTTTCCCTCCAAGTAAATATTAACTTCAGCGAAGAGTTCTAATAATTTTTCCACTCTCTAAAAGCTGTATCACAAAATAAAAATAAGGACTAAACTACATAGCAATGAGCAAAGATGCTCTAGAGAATTTGTTACGTTCTGCATATTCTGAAGAAAAGTATACTTCTAAATGCTATGCATTTAAATACTTAAATATTTCATTTTAATTTAAAAAAATGTACTCTGCAAAAACCACAAAACAACATTTGAAGTAATCCATAAGTGTGTTGAAATTATTACACTGTCCTAATTAATACATGTGCTGGTGGGTACAAACACCTACCTACCTCATCAAGTGAGTTTATACTTTTTTTTTCAAGGGCCTGCAATTCCTTTTTAAATTTGGCTTCTATCTTATCACATGGTCCTTGAAGTTTTTTGACGGCAGGAGCACCAGTTTCGCTAGATTCAGACATAATGGGTAATTTGCATTATTTATTTGACTATCTGTACTGTCACTTTGTCCACTTGGATAGAGAGTTTCTTCCATTACCTCTTCGGCAGTCCCTACTGCAGCTTAGTCAGGAGGAGAAGGAGGGGAGGGGCGGGGGAGGAGGAGTCCTCCTTGGTCCGGTTGGGAGCAGGAAAGGAGGTAGCTTGCCTCAGCCTTGAATCACAGCAAAAGGAAAACAGCGCACCAAAAAGAAGTCGAAGACTGAATAAAAGCTCTTCTGCCTCTGCCCCCTGCTCATGAGTTTCAAGCCCAGTCAGCTCCTCCTTCTGGCATTAGTCATTGGCTGGGTAAGTATGATAGACAAACCTGCAGCCCAGCGAAGGTGCAAGCCCAAAGGTTTCTCTGCTCTAGCCACTTTCACTAGCCACTTTCTGTGTGGTAGAATCACCCACCACAGAGAGCTTGCATTTCCGGAATTCTAGCCTTACTGATGTAAAAATCTTTGGCACCTACCCTGCCCCTCCCTTTCCCCTACCCTCCCACCAGTGCCCTAAACAAAAAAGGTAAAAACACCAATAAGCTGCTTTTCCACTTCCCTTTACACCCACCCAGCTTGAATTAACCTTTAGATTTGAGCCAAGAAGTTGTGATAAAATCTAATCAAGAGACAGACTGGGAGGAAATACACCAATCTACCAACAGGATATCTTCCTGTAGCGTGCTTCTGAATGATTTTTATATTCTGCGTTTCTGCTTTTTTGCAAATATTCTGAGATGCATTCCTTTAATATTGGAAAATACAGAGTGGGAAGGGGCTAAATACTTCAGTAAGTGTTCTAAGACGCGATAAGGGTTTTGCATTCCATGTAGAAGTTTTAAGGGCTCTGCTGTGTTGTCTGGCAAGCACAGTATATGTCCAATTTGGGAACCTCTGCAGCAGTGATCCAGGTACACCATATTTATTATAGTCTTCATTTTGGCCCTGGTATATAAGTAAATCTGCTCCCATACCCTTTCTTGATGGATGCAAATATCTCAGAAATAAAACAAAGGCACTCTAAAAATTGCAGTGGTGTTGCTAAAAGCATAATTTGCTTCCTGATTTTGTATAAATCCTAACAACTTAAATATCTAAACATACATGATTGGTTAAATAGTGTCATGGATTGTAATATTTTTACATTTATAGATATGGGGCTGGGCTATTGTTAAACAGGGATAAAAGCAAGATATTAAACTATATGATGGGATTTGGAAAGATTATTAGGTAATTTTATGCCTAGAGACCCAGAAATCCCCAAATCCTCCTGCCACAGCTCTTTCCTTCAGGTTTTGAAGGAAAATATATGTGGATGGGGAAACGGCAAATGTGAAATAAAATACTACTTTATTATTTGTTGTGCTTGTGCCTTTGTGCCCTGCGCAAAACTCTCTGGGTAAGCTGAGTTTTAGGGGGCCTCCTCTTCACGCCAATTTCAACCCCAAAATCTCAGGATCTCATTACCCTGTAACTAGCTGCATAATGCTGAAGTGAAAGTTGTTGCCACCTATTAAAAAAAAAAAAAAAAGCCACATCTAGGAGTGTGATCTCCTCCCAAATCAGGTGGAGGGTGGGTCTGGGTCACTTACTCTTCCTAGGTCATTTACCCATCCTACTCTTGGAAGTGAAAGCAACAGCTTATATAGATGTCCTTTCTGGGTGAGGCACTCCTTCCCTCTACCCCCTTCTGCCCCATCCCCACTCCCTCCCATCCCTTCCACTCCCCACCCTTCTCCCTTTCCCTCCCTTCCCTATTCTCCTTTCCCTTCCCCGCTCCCTCCCACCCACTCTCCTTCCACCCTCCTTCTCACCCTCCTCTTCTCCCTCTTCCTTCTCCTTTTCCCTCCCTCTCTCTCCTCCCCTTCTCCTCTCCCTTAGCCTTGCTCCCCTGTTCCATTTCTCTCCAATCACTTGAATGTGTATCCTCCAAAGAGCTAAGATCTGGGAAACATATCAGAACGTTAATAATAGTTAAGTATTCTTTTTTTAAAATTTTCCTTTTCCTCAGTGTTTTCTACTTTTTCTAGAAGACCCACATTTTTTATAATTAGGAAAAATGTTAGATTTTTATAGCATGATACACTTTATTGGACATTTATTTTAGGATGCAATAGAACATGAAAAGAATATCAAGTGATAAAAAGTGATCATCTCAGTGAAAGACAAAATAGAACATATTACAAAGAAAATGTGGTTAGTAACTTTAGTTCACAATTACACAGTATAAGATGAGGAAACTTTTAAAAAATACTGTCATAGTAACACTTCAGTGGTAAACGATAACTCCATTTTTCTTATAGACCACTATGTCACATAAATAAGCTCAGTCATATCGTATATGGTCTTGATGGACATTCTTAAATTTATGCTAATCTTTTTTCAAGCAATCAAATTTCACTGTTTAGCTGTTCTAGTTAATGTAAGTACTGTATTTCTATAGCAAAGTAATGAAGGCACAGTTAGTGCAAGCAGATTTAAACGTTTAGTTTTCTGGGCTGGAAAAGAAAAACCACTTGCATTGGCATTTCAGGAACTCTTTTTTTCAAGCAAACATTTGTCTCAATTGACAATTATGCCAGTTTTCACAGCTACATTTTAATAGGAACATGACAAAGGACTTCACAAAAATCAAAACTCTGTAGCACCAAACGGGCATGCTTTAGATAACTGACAACATTTACATATTTTGAAGAATATTACACTACAACAGGCTACTTAGACACTGTAAGACAATTTTTTAGACTACCAAGAAAATATGAAAACACAAGACTAAGGAATGCTAGTGTTGAGGTTATAGAGCAGCTCCCCCCCATCCCATCTGAGGCTATATAAACCTGCTTCACTCCTGCTTGAAGTTTTGAGATGCTTGAAAATTCCTTCAGGCAGCCTCTTTTTTATTTTCGATATTTCCTGTTTCCATAATCTTTACCATCATCATAGGTACCTTTGACTTCTCCTGTATAGTAATAGATTGATTTCAGGATGACATTATCATGTAAAATTTGACCAATTTCAAAGTCCTCATCCAGGATAGCATCTTCTCGTGGTTCCAGCTTTCCAATATTAGGAATCTCAGGAGGGCTAAAGAAATTGAAGAATGATGCATTAGGAACCACTCTTGGCTGAATTTCAATTTCTCCAGTAGCAGTTGTGCGACTCTGGGTGGTTGTCAGAGTAACATCCTTTCCTCTTCTCCAATCTATCTTACAGCCTTTGCAATCTTGGATTTCCCATCCCCAAGAGAAGAAGGGATCATTGTGATCTGGTTTTGACTTTATTATATATGTCTTGGTCAGCATCTCATTTCTGAAGTATGGATTGGGTAGAAAATAAAATTCAAACGTGTAGCTTATAGGCTGACCAGGTTTTGAGAACTTTAGGCTAATATCTGACAAGAACTTCAAAATGGGGGCATCATACTTCTGAATCATGGGCCCGAGCTTGTCAACATTCTTTAAAACAGTCAGCCAGTAGTCAGGAATGCCTTTAGGATCTTCTTTTTTAGGCTTTCCCTTCCGAGCTCTTTTAAGATTCGCTCTTTCTTTAGGCCTGACCTCAGGAATTCTTTTAGGAGCCTCTATTACAGCAGCCTTTGCCTTAGCCTCTGCTGCTTTAGGCTGTTCTTTATCTTCTGCCTTTGCCTGGGGGACTACTTTAGGCTCTTCTTTCATTTCAGGCTTTACCCCCAGAAAAGCTTTAGACTCTGCGTTTTCTTCAGCCTTTGCCTCAGGAGTTTCTTTTCGAACCTCGTTTTCTTCAGCCTTTACCTCAGGTTTTTCTTTAGGGTCATCGTCTTCTCCCTCACCCTCTAAGGCAGGCATTTCACTAGGACTGTCTTCCTGCACCTCCTCATCACTACTGAACACCTCATCCTCTGAATTCCATTCATATTCTTCTTCTGCAGGTTCATATTCTGCATTGATTATTTGAAATCGCCGATCGTACAGAGGCTTATTGAGTTCGGCATATTTTCTTTCGAGATCGTGAATTGCCTTTAAAAACAGGATGTCTACCTTGTCACATTCATCTTGAATATTTCTAAGCGCCTGCACACGATTTCTAACTGCTTGAGGCAGCCGATCCACGAAACTTTTACCCAACGGAGCCCGCCGTGCTCTTCGCGAAGGCCCAGATACCCTCTTCTTTCTATATAAGCGGCTGCGGCTACTGCTGCTGCTGCTGCAACTAGTGCTGCTGCTAGAGCTACTGCTGTCAGAGTCTTCCCCAGAATCACTAGACGAGCTAGCCATCTTCTCTTCAGCAACCCCTTGGGCGGCAGGTTCCGAGACCATGTTAAGATCCGCTTCTGCCATTTTGCAACCCTGCAAACCTCTTAATGTGGTGACTACCACTGAGACCGCGCGCTCGGGAGATGGGCAGAAAATGACTCACGGATGCTTGGGTAGCGGCGGAGGCCCGGGCTGAGGAGGTTGCAGCAGCGGCGAAGGTAGCAGTAGCGTAGGGCGGGGCGGGGCTGGGCTGCCGTGACCGCGTAGAGGTGGAAGCCGCAATAGAGGCCTGGGCGAGAGCGGCGGTGGCAAGGCCTCTCACTGTAGCCGCGGCGGGCCGAGGCGTGCCGCAGCCTAATGGCGCAGTGTAAGACCCCAAGATCTCTTCACGGTTTAGATCGCAAGCCCCCACCCCTTGCAGTCAGAACCGCCGTTAATTTAGTTCCCAGTGTGCCCTTAGCTCGCGCCTCATTTGCTGGGCAAGCTTGATTGACAAGCTCTAAGCCTAATGAAATACCAAACGCACCCGCCGCCCTCCAGGCTCCGCCCACCTTCCCAGATGCTCCTTGGTAGCTGAGGCACACACCCTTGGAAGACGTTTATTTCCCCTCAAAATTCTGTCTTTATAGTTATATAACTCAAAAACAAGCTTAGATATGAGGTAAAAATACTAGCCGTGGTTCCTAACAAGGGAAGAGGGGTATCTTTCTCCCATCATCTCATCCTGAATTCCCGTTTGGTTTGTCAGGAGCCTCTTGACAAAAATCTGTTTTTAAAAAATTGGATGAAAATGCTCCAAATGGCATCATTGGGTAGTGTGATTATGGATGATTTTTTTTTTTAATCTCTTTATCTAAATATCCTTGGGAGTGTATTTTTACACTGGAGGAAAAAGGGGAGTCGTTTATCGGCAAAGGGGGAAGGGGCTAGAAAGCAGGCATAATGCGTCCACGTATCAGTTTTAATAAGTACTATCTGTGGTGTTTGGCAAGCCTGGTTTATATCCATCTACAGGGTTGTGAACCCATGTTGCCGTGAGTCAGTTACACCATTTTTACTATATTTCTCTTTTTAAACTGGCATATAATATACCCCGACCTTGCTGCTGACTTGCCATTAGCTGTTCTCAATGCTTGCAACAATCTTGTAGATGAAATACAAGGGCATTCAAACGTTAGGTAGTATTATTTAAAAGCAGACGGTTTGCTCCATACTTTTGTGCAGCAGTTTTCAATTCCATGAACAGCAGGGGGGTGGGGGTGGGGATTTGTGCTGACGAAAAGTGCATCCTCGGTCAGGGTATACTTTACAATGTCATCTGCCACCAATTTCCTTCTAATATTCCAGCCACACTGAAGTATGATTTACAAATCCAGTAATATGTGAATAAACTTTTGTAAAATGAAGTTTTAAAACAGATATCTGTTATTTTTATTTACAGGATTCATTTCTGCTACAGAACACCTCCCTTGGTACAACCCAAAAGACCAGTGTTTACTTTTCATTAAAGGTAAGAAACATATTTAGCCCATTTTTATGAATGACAAGAATTACCTATCTGTATTTGTATAAAAATTCACAGGATATATTACAGTCTTTTAAAGACTTAGCTGGAAGATACCTTGATATTTCTGTGGAAGCAAAAAAACCCATAGAGGTGATTTGATATACTAATGTAGAAAATAACCTACTTAATCACATTCAGTGTCTAAACCTGCTCATGGAATACAAGTAGTAAATTAAAATATAAAACATGATGAATTATCACTTCAAATGAGGAGAAATATTAAAGTTAGATTAATCTTTGCATTACCTTTTTATTATAGATTTTATGCTTTGTCATTTAGTCATATTTTTTTAAAAAGTTAGGGAACACTTTTCTATTTTGTAAATAAATTTACTTTCATTGTTTATTTCTGAGTTTCAAGGTATATAAGCATTGTAAGGAAAAAGTATAGAAAATTCCAATGATGGTAAAAATACATAATCTTAACAACCAAATGATAACCACTGTTAGGATTTTGATGCATTTCCTTCCAGAAATTTCTTTGTACATCTACACACCTGCTTATTTATATAAACTGTTCTCAATGTAAAACATATTATATTTTGTAATCTGCTCATTTAACTTATCAGTTGTGGCTATATTTGCATGGTAAATGATCAACATCTTAATTTAAAATAGGTGCATATTCCATGGAAATATTTGACTTAACTTATTTAACCAGATTCCTGTTGTAGAGCAGCTCCTTTCCACACCATCTCTCCATGAACATACACTTTTTTTTCCTGTTATAAAAAAAAATTAGCCCTGGATACCTACTATATGGATTTGTGAAAATTAGTCATAAAATGAATTCCTAGAAATGGGAGTGCTGGAAAAAATTGTGTTTTCATTTTATTCTTTGACACACATTGCCAAACTTCTCCCCAGAAAAGTTATCATGATTTACAGTTCCACCAATAATGCATGAGTTCATTTATTTAATCATTCAACTAATATGTTTTTGTGCCTGCCATATGCCAGCCACATGTGGTAGAGGATGGTAATATAATGATGAATAAAACTTAACTGAGTGTATATTCTTTCATTTCATAATTTTAATCAAAACGTATACTATGGAAAAATAAATATTGTTCTGTAACTTATTATTTTCATTTGAAATAATAGATATCCTTTTTGAAATGAATGCTCTTATATTTTGATAGTACTGTAATGGTTTCATTTACATGTTAAATTTTGTACTATCAGGAATTAGTATTTTGAAGTAAGCAATGAGTTAGGGATTCAGATATTTTTTAAAATATATTTTTATTAGCTAGCTAATTTTTTTGTACTGTTTATTTGATAATCTCTCTGTCTCACACTTACTTGAAATACGACATTTACCATATTAACTAAACTGCTTGGTTCTGTTTCTGAATTCTGTTTTCTGATCCGTTGGCCTTAATTTTTCTGCAAACAACTAATGAGGTAGTGGCTGTTTTTTAATAACATTATATTTGGTGAAAATGATATGCATTGAACAAAGGTTGGATAATATATTGAAATCCAAACAAGAAAAGTAACTAAAAACAAACTGAGAGGTAATCACTATTCACATCTTTAATGAACATCCCCAAATTAATTTCTTATCATTATGTATTTGTATTTCTTAGGCTAGCAGTAAGATTGAATGTCTTTTCATATTTTTATTGTCCATTTGAGAATTGCCTATTTATACCCTTTGCTTCTTTTCCACTGAATTAAGAAAGAAATTAATTGGTGGTGAAATCCTACAGGTAAAATAATTTTGGCCTTGATTTAAGACAACTGTGACTCCTTTAGAAAATACATCTGTTCTGACTTATAACATTGGACAAATGCATCTTAACTACAGCTTTCATTTTAAATTACCTAATTTCAATTTAATTGTCATCTAAACAATGCTTTTCAAGGATTAGTACTTAATCACACTGAAACAAAAAAGTTGGAATGAAACAAGGAGAATAAAAAGAGAAAGACTTGTAAAAAAAAAAAAAAAAACTCATACAGAGCTATTAATGAACTATTTTGATTTTTTTGTTCTTCCTTTTTCCCAAGCCAAAGACTATATAGGTGACTTCTAACTACAGTGCTCTACTTTTGATGCATATATACTACCTTAGGTATCTTGTAACGTATTTTCATTTTTGAGGCTTTTCTTGATCTATTAGTTAACTTAATTTTATTATTGCAGTTTCCTGAAAGAAAATAAGTATTTTCTTTATATAATGCACTTAATTTATGCATTATATCATATATTTTCTACTGTGAATATTTTTGTAAGTATTAGTTCTAGCATATGATATGCTTATTTTTCTTCATAAGGCCATCTTTAAATTACTTGCATAGTGATATGTTCTCTGTTTCATTATTTTATGATATTCTTTTTTGGGGTCAAATGTTCATACTTCTACATGAGATGATGCTTAACACAGAATCTATTGTTATATTTAGGCTGAACATGGCTCTTTGACATCCGTTTATACCTTCTCTGTTTTGAACATATACACAATCCCGACTACCACCCCTTTCACAAAAACACATATACGTAATATGCAGTAAGTGCTAATAGCATTATCTTTGTTGTAGATATTTAAGAAGCAAAGCATTGCAATTTCATTTATTTGTGGACTTATGTTTTTCTTTTTTTGTTGTTGTTATTCATTTAGACAGGTTTTATCTGAGTACACAAGTTAATTCTTTTTAAAAACAATTTTATTAAAGTACAATAATACAACTGTACATAAAGTACACACTGTGATATTTTAATAAATCTTTATACCTGTGAAGTCATCACCCACAATCAAGATAATGAAAGTTTTTTATCATCCCCAAAAGCCTCTCCTTGTGCCTGCCTAGGCAACTACTGATCTGCTCTCTGTTTCTATAGACTAGTTTGCGTTTTCTGGAATGTTATATAAATAAACTGATGAGTCACATGCTATGTGTATGTTTAACTTTTTAAGAATTAACTGTTTTCCAAAGTGGTTGTACAATTTTGCATTCCTACTAGGAGCACCAACACTTGGTATGGTCATTCTTTTTAAATTATCCATTTTGGTAGGTATGCAGTAGTATCTCATTGTGGCTTTACTTTGCATTTCCCTAATGACTAAGGATGTTAAACATCTTTTTTTTTTGTAGTGATTTACCATCCACATATCTTCTTTGGTGAACTGTCTATTCATATTTTGCCCATTTTCCTATTGGGTTCTGGTCTTACTATTGAGTTTTAAGAATTTGTTATATACTGTGGATACAAGTCCTTAGCAGATATAGGTTCTGCAAGTATTTTCTCCCGATCCATGGATTTTCGTTTTATCCTCTTAACAGTGCCTTTCATAGTTTTTCAGAGAACAGAAGTTTGTAATTTTGATTCAGTCCAATTTATCATCTTTGTTTCTTTTATGAACCACGTTTTTGGTGTCATCTCCAAGAAATCTTTGCCTAGCCCAAGATCATGAAGATATTCTTCTATGCTTTTTTAGAAGTTTTAAACTCTGAGATTTCACATTTAGATCTGACCTATTTTTGTATGTGGTACAAAATATAGATTGAAATTAGGTATCTAATTGTCCCAGCATCATTTGTTGAAAAATTTTCCTTTCTCTACTGAATTACCTTGGACTTTCATCAAAAATTAGTTGTCCATATATGTGTTGGCCTCTCTATTCTGTTCCATTGTGTACTTATTTTACTTGCCTAATTTGTAAACATTTCTTAGGTATTTTTGGGAGGGAATGAGAAACAAATTGTGGGATAACAGAATTTAATTATAGTGGAGACAGTTACAGTAGCTGGATCTTCATCCTTGGCCTTTCATTTCTGCTCTCAAATATCTGAGAGAAAAGGAAAATAACAGCACTGGTAACCTAGAAAATAAATCAAAATAAGAAACACAAATGCTTTTCTATTTTTGTGGAGTTGC